AATATGAAGTAGTTTATATTTTACTATAAAACGTCATCTTTGCGAAAGCAACGCATTGGAAAATTCATGTGATGAAAAGGGAAGCAATGGTCATGCCAATCTACACAAGTCCTTGTTCGCTATTTCCAAGTAAAAATTAGACTAAGCTACTTCTGTTCTTTTAACCTTTCTTACGTCAGATCATCCGTTCGAATGAGCTAATCGAAAACGGCTATGAGTTCTTCACAGATCGTCGTCTGCTTACAATCTTTACGGCTCCCAACTACACAGGTAACTTTAAAAACTATGGGGCCATTGTCTCTCTACACAAAAGCCCAATGGATCAAGAGATAAGGTGTCGTATCAAGGTTGTTAAGCCGATCATGAAGCTGCGCTCAAAGATGACCGGACAGATGACAATCGAAATAGAAGACTCTCGTGTCTATCTTGGGGCTGAAGTAAAGGATGTTGAACAGGAGGTATCTTGATAGGCTGTCTTTGATATCTATACCAGCCGGTCGTGGGAAAGGGCAAAGAAAGATGAGTGATTGAGGCCTGTTTAGGCCAATTACAAATTCTGGCGATCAAAAGCAATTGAATAGCAAACTCTAAAGCTAACGGAAGTCGTCTCTAAAAATCCCATTTATATGGACGAGTTTTCCTATTATTATCGAAACTAACTCAAAGGCTCGTATAAATATTAAAGTGTTGAAAAAGAGAAGGCAAAATCTGCTACAAGCTCGATTACCTACTGGACAAACTTATCATGAAAAGAGCTGATAAGCACCTATAGTTGTGTACAATTTAAGGCTGAAAGTACCTCAAGAAGCAACGTTCAATGAATCTGATCTGTTGCAGGGGATGAATGAGGCCCAAGCGATATGTAGCTGACAAGAAAATTGTAAAAAATGAACTATTAATGTTTTTGACAGACCTTCATTTCATACAAATTATGAAATAAATGAATGCTAAAATGTAATAAATCAGAAAGCCAACAGTTTTTGCTCCTATCCTACCATATTGTCTTCCTTAATACGCAAAATGCTGTCTCATTAGCGGAGAGTGTAGTTAAGTTAAAATGGATATAGGCCGGCTATTGAATTTGTTTAAATAATAAAAACACTAATGAAGTTATTAGTTCAGGGCCATACTTATTTCAATATATATTCTTAGGTTGCATTTGGCATTTAAGCTGTTCACTATGCTGACATAAAATGTAGGGTTTTGGCATATTAAGCCCCACTTTTTAGAAGCAAGAATTGGATCGCGTTCTGACACAAAAAGATAACGAAAACGACTTTTAGGTTAAAAGATAGATCAAAGCAGCCAACTGTCAAGTAGCTTGCTACTTGGCAGTCAAAAGGTAAAGAGCCTATATAATTTGTCTTAAGTTTAGGAACATTATGGAGAAAAATCATCAATAATATGTAAACAGTGTAATGAAGTAAGCGACAGTATGATACACAAATATCTGTAATTTGCTTATATTCGTGATAGCGGATTTACATGTTGCAAATTTGTGCTATGGTATTTATGTAAGTGTCTATGTGAATAAATGAATTGAGTGTCTATATGGATAAAATAGTTTGATATTAAAATCAAATTATTTTTAACTAGACCGGTTTACAAACCTTACATTTAATTTCGTCTGGAACTGATTTGGGACTTTTCCCTCAGCCCTCTTTATAAGGATGCACGAATAAGTTACCTAACTCAGATAATTTCGAAGGTTCAATTAAATTCAATCCATTATTTTAAATTGGGTCAAGCACCAACATTTTCCCCTTTTACCTTATGAATCGTTGCCCTCGCTCAGCAATAAGACAAATATCAAGGTGTATATACAAATGATCTATTTATGACTAAAACAAATTCTGTATTAAATTCGGATTTGACAAATTTTCAACTTTAAGACTGTAATACATGTTATGGGGGATTTATGCCTAACATATCTGCTCTACGTAAACCGATGTACGTATCAGCTTTTTATATTTGCTCTTGATATTATAATGTGACTTTTAAGAGACGCTTTTTCAACTAAGACTATTTAAAGACATGAAGACCAAGATGGTGTGGCCATCGGTATGGCAACAGTTTCCTTTCGAATTTTAGAAGTGGGTTGACCTCGCTTTTACAACTTTGTCTTGTTGTCAGGGCGGCTTAGTTGGCTCCAAAGATAGGAATAAATAAATAAAGATTAGCTCAAAAGACTGATACTAAAGCATCCTTCGTTTATAGTGATGAAAAATTTGGTTCGAAAAAAATGTCATACGTTTGTTGCAGCAAAATAAAAGTAAGGGATGAACTACTAAATTATAATAATAAACAGCTTAAAATATGAGCCGATTGTTGCTGAATAAACCACGCTACTCTTATAACTATGGAAAAATGGGACCAAACTCCTAAAGCGATTAGCTGAGAGCAACTGGAATTTATGAGCATTCAAAATAAATATAAATGACAAAGTCCGAATAATAAACTTGATTATTTAAGAGGATATGATAACTTACTGGCACTTAAACGAGCCGAACTTTTGAATGGAACAGCATATTCAATAAGGCCGTCAGAACCTAGTCGAGGCAGAGTACGCAGAGCTAGACGACAGTGCACTTCCTCTAATACATTTAATATGTAGCTTTCTGTAGCATCTGAAATTTTCATTTCGGTTACATTTTTGGTGATTGTGACAGGTTCAAGTTGAGAAGGAATAGAATAAGGATGTTTGCTATACACATGACCAGATTTATCTAAAAGTGAAAGAAGACTAAGCCTAATTGTCTGCAGAAGTCTGCTGGATTGGTAAATGTTGGACAGAGGGGTAGAATGAGCAAAATTCAGATTTGATTCTTGGATAGAAAATCTTTCTAGACTGCTCAATGAAATAAGGTATTCACTGAAAGGGTCAAAAGGTTTGCAGGAATTCTCCAAACCACAAACATTTGATGAGTTCGGAGCGCTTATATGATGCTCAATTGATGGTCGTCCTTCAGCATGCGTAAACAATAAGGAATAACCGTCCATGGCCTGGCCAATCACGGCGAAGCATTCTAGAGCTGCATGGCGTACCTGAGAAATTCATGAAAACAGCATACGGATAGATAATGGAATTCACAAATAGACTAGGCAACGATCAGAAAATAACTCATAACAAGCATAAATCCGAATAAAAATTGGCTCTAATTTAAAAGTAAAAGACGAAAATGTCTCCATAAAACTTGGAATTAAGAATGTAGATACACAATGCAATTTAATTATTTACCTAGAGAAAGAGTATATTAAAATAATTTTTTTATATCTGCAGGACATAAAAATAGATACAATGCAAGAAACAATGATCAAAAGCAACAATAGAGGCAAATTTGTTTCTAAAGAAGTTACCTGTCTTT